AGAAAAATATGAATATTTTTTATACAATAAGTGACATTAGTTTTCATTAAAAAATACTAGCAAGCTCGAAAAATATTTTAGAATGACGCCAAATGGTGTGCTTAAATCTAAAGAGATTCCTCTCGTGTTATATTATATTTCTAGTATACAATGAGAAATAAAAGTGTCTGAGTATAATTATTAATGGTACATAAATTATAGCTGTTTTTATTTCTGCGTTCTTAATGTATGACTAGTTTTTTATACATATTACTCAATAATATATTAATATGTATGCATATAATTCACACGTTAAAGTACCAAAATTCATCCATTATAAACGATATTTCGATTTTTTCATAAAAATGTTGAACTACTTATTTCCGTTTCGCTAACAATAAACTAACTTCACTATCGATAATCATAAACTGCAAAACCCATGAATGCTACTATTTTAAATGTGTATATAATGTATAAAGCAGTTTGTGATAGTCAATTTAAAAACTGAAAGTTGGGATCGCCGGCAGACAAGGAACTGATTTATTGTAGTGGCAATCGATCATTTCTAGCACTTGACTTCCACTTTAGAATGAATATCGTGAAATAGAAGGCGGGACATTTTACGAAAGAAAGGCCGGCAGCCTCATTAAATTATTCCGCGACGTTTAAAGTCATAAGTAATATTAGTCTGGTCTCCGTTTCTCGTAACATTAAACAATTTCTGGGGTCAATTTTCAGCAACCTTCGAAGTTTAAAGACATATCTCACAGCCTCTTTACTTCTTTCTTTCCTTATCTTCATTTATCTGTATCTTCTTATTTTTTTTTTTTATTAAATATATGAGAATTTTAGTTAAAAAGCTTGCAAAATCGAATAATTAGTTAATTAATAGTATAGTATTGCAAGAATTCCATTCGTGGAGACTTGACTTTACAATTTGTACATTATTCGAAGTCTGCATTATCTAATTTATTAAACACAAGTTATACGCAAAAAAGTTGAGATAAAAAATATGTTGCTCATAAAAATGACTAAAAAGTTCTTTATGGATTAGTGAAACATTTTCTTATGTCAGCTGAATAAGAGTGGCTGGTAGAATTTAAAAAATTGTTATATGTCGCTTCGTTTCCTAAACAATTAATTTTTACATTCGGGTGGAACGAAATATAGGGACAGAATTTTCGAGCAAAAGCTTAGAAAATTAAATTACAGTTATTTCTCCATTTTTAATACTTTACACTTTACAGAATTACACATGCCTGTGTAGGTAGTGTTTCCTGCAACTTTCATATCCGTTTTCATATTACTAATATTTACAACGAGTGTAATTAGCCCTCCTATACCATTTGTTTCTTTAATATACAAGCAACAGTATTTCTATTTAGAATTAGAATTAAATTTATGAGTAGAAGTAGAATTATACTTTTTATACTTTTGTATAGTAAATAACTGTGACTAATAAAATTATAGAATAGTTTTTAGTGAAAAATAAATATACATTTTCAGGAATCACATTATTACCATGTTCTTCAGTATAATTGTTTATATTGAACTACTATTCGTTTACAATAGTCGAAAGTGCCTAAAAAGTGTTAACTCAATTTACAAAAACCACTATTTCAAGAAATCAACAGATTGATTATTAAACTACGAATGTTCAAGAATACAGTGAAATTCTGATAAGTTTAATACCATTTATGTATTATTATTACAATACTAAAATCTCTAGTACGTAAAATAACATTCGAAGCAAGAATAATTTATATATATTAATATAAAAAATTGTAAATATGCATAAACTTTCGCAGTCAATTGAAAAATATAGTGAAATAATACTCCGACCGATCGTAATTGTTATATAATAATATAACAAATTGTAAATATACATAAATTTCCGCAGTCGATTGTTTATAATTATCAAACACGAAGATAGTCAGTTGTAAACCTCCTTATATCCTGGAAACAGCTTATGTACTGTATATCTGTATATGCATATGTACGTGCATACATTAAACGGTACCTGGATACAAAGTAGCTGAGGACCATGTGCAATTACGTTGTCTTAATTGGAAGTGTCAAGTGTTTGCGCATCTCTAAGGAATTATTGTTTACCGAGTGAATTAGTCACCCTGTGTGTCTTCGGGGTTGAAAGGCGGGGAAGTCATCAAGGTTTCGAAGAGGCTTGCGTGAAATCTAAGCGTTCCAGACCCTCCACATTACGCACCCTTCTTACGCCAACAAAGACAATACTTGACGCACACTGGCATCTTTCTGTTATCTTCCTTGTCGAATGTAAAAAGTAATTTTTAGTAATTCATGCTAATTTCTATCAAAGTTGGGCATATTTTATTGGACATAAGATAACAAATTATTATTTGAAACAATGAATTATTCCAAATACTTTAATATCTTTATTTTACATACAACATAAGAAAATGAATAATAATTTTAATTTATGTTTAATTCAAATGAATTATTTTCAAATAATTTTTTGTTTCAGTTATTTCGCTGAAATAAAATAACAAATAATTTTACATAAGAGGTTATTGAACTAAATTAATTATTGAACTTAGAATACGAGAATTGTTTTCCACATTGCAGTAAATCTACCATTCTAGCAAATGAAAACAACCTCTTCACAGAACTCTGTATTTCTAACGCAGTTGACGATGCTGACATGATATAATTAGAGAGTATTTGAGAAATTATTTGAATAAATATTTGATCAAATGAAAAATTGTTTAAGGTCTGGGTTGAAAGAAATTGTTTAAGGTCATTCTTCCGTGTTTTTTCATGGTTACCGGTATTGTTTTGCAGAAAAGCATATATCTTTTTTCTATGGTATCTTGTAGTGAATGAAAAAATACATTCCAACATCCCTAAATTATGACCTTCAGATCACCTTCAACAATAAAAACATGATCCAATTCTAAGGTACTACTAAAGCACTTTAAGCATTTGTAACATAAAACAGTAAGTTAACATATGTACCATTCCTAATAACAGTGTATTAGAACTTTATCACTCTTTTGATGTTTAAGGCCATTTGAAAGTCATAAATTAGGCACGTTCGAATGCATTTTCTCAGCTACTACAAGATATAATACAGAAAAGATATTTTCCTCTTTCGAAATCATTCAAATTGTACTGCAAGTATTATATTATTGCTCATATCATTGAAAAGGAAGAAGACATTTAGGTGGCTCTTTTCAGCTGGAACACCATGTCTAACGTTAGATACAATTTATCTAAATTAGATTCTTACCCAGATAGCACATGACGATTTGAAGCCGGCTTAAACACCCCCTAGACCTAAAATAGTCGTAAAATAGGCGTCTTCAAGGCGTCTGGATTATGTGGGTTAGTGATATTCATGTCCAATCCCCCTCTAATACAGCTTATTTTTATCCACAATACTCACCGATAAGCTTTCTTCACCTTCAAATGTGTTGTCGTCATGACTTCACTTATTATTGAACAAAGACTGCTTTTCTTTTCAACGTTTTCACGAGCGTTGAAAGCGGGAATTCCTCCGTGTTAAATAACAGAAATTCCCGACTCAAGGTCCGAACGTGTACCTATTCTCACGAATAAAAAGAAAAAAGAGAGATGAAACGGGTTCTCGAAAGTTTCTACGCTCCGAAGCAGCGGATAAAAAGAGGAAATAATATATTACAGAGGGTTAAAGAAAACTTTTGAATAGGACGCGTGCAATCAATTTCTGGACAAGCCTTTCTTAATGGTACTCTACTTTCTAGACATTTATCAAATGAATATTATGATTAAGTATATTACCAGGTATATGTATATTGGATTGGTGGGAAATCAATTTCGTGTTTGTTATTATTCTAAACTTCTGCCTGTACTGTGTTAATTCCAACGATTAGGTTCATTAAAGGGAACATAACCTCAACAATTGGGTCCATTGCAGGAGATGTAATAAACCAGATGACGAATGTTAATGTTCTGAAAGACTACAGTGGGAAAGCAATTTCATGTTTGTTGTTATTCTAAACTTCTGCCTATACTGTTAATGCCAACAATGAGGTCGACTAAAGATAATGTTGAGTCAATAATTGGGTCTACTGAAGGGTACATAATAAACGAGGCGATTACTGCCAGTGTTTTGAGAAGACTACACCAGTGGCATTTATTGGTAGTGGCTCTCACTTGCTACATTTCCCTTCTCTGAACCTTTTCTACTTGTAAAGTAATTTCTGTTGCATAACAACTAATTAATGACACCAATCCTAATACAATATTTTGAAATATACCAGAGTTTTGCAACTTTCTATGTAGTATTTTCCTAAGTTTCCTGTCTCGAACGTATAATAAGTTTATTATAATGACCATGATTTTTTATTTGAAGCTTACCATTAAAAATTTAAGAACATCTCTATTATCCTATGTATTATACGTTAAGGAATTAATATAAAAATGAAACAACAGTTTGTCAACAAAAAAACAAAGAAATATGAAGTTGATTTATTTCTTAAACAAATTGGTATTTTAAATAACAGTTTACGTAGTTAGATTGCAATACTTTTAATTTTTTTATAAATTCAGCACAGACATCGGACAAAGACAATTATATGGTCACTTTGAACAATTTTCAACTGATTACCATTTACACTAAAATAATAACTCACGTAATACATTAAAATAGACTATTTATTTATTTAGTCATTTTACAAATTTGACAATGTGTAAATGCATACATAATGCAATGATTTTCGTTATACATCTGAATTTGTTAAATTTCAGGAAAATACAACGAACGTCTCTAATAAAAAAATAAACGAATCGCGGTAAAACTTGCCGATAATACTTCGAAACAACAACGTTTTCCGCACTCGTAACTGTACCATTTGCGAAGAACATAGAAATATTAATTGATAAACCTTTCGATATTTCAATGCAGATGAATTACGAGGATAATATTATTGAATCGATGAAACGAAACGAAATCGATAAAACGTTTGCAACTCGCCGTTGCAAGGACTCCACTTAGAAGTCGGACATTACGCCTCCCTTTCTTCCAGTTGTTTCTCCTGTTTGATCAGCTCGAGTACACCGTTCCTCATCTCCAAGACCACTTCTCGCTCGGTCAAACCCAGTCGTCGTTTGTTGCTGATGTCATAAACTCCCCCTTTGCTCTCGGTGTGCTCACCTTCGGTGCCTCGTATCTAAATAATTAATACGTGTATATGTATACGATTAAACTGAACAAATTGCGACGATAAAAATAGTCATAGATATTGTTAGAAATAAATACTTTGTGTAATAAATAACACTATTTAAATAATAATAAAAAAACGGAGCATCGTACGACAAAATGTTATTCTACATTTTCGACTTATTTTTGCGTGTAGAATCCCTTTCCGGGTTTTACCACCATTTTGAAAGCAGCCTGTATACAATGAAAGAATGTCCTAGTAGCAATTACTGTTGGCATTTTGATGGACCTTTAATGCACTATTGGTTGGCCAATAGTTAGAATTGTCACCTTTTCTTGCAACTAGGCCAACAATCGTACTTAACGTAAGGCCTTAAATTCTTTTACAGGTCTCTATAATATACAATCTGCCTAAATAATGAGATATTAAATATTCTTAATATTTCAGTTTTTCTCTTACCGTATCCTCTACTTGTAATATTCGACTGTATAAAAAAAGAAATTTTCATTACGTTTACTTCATTGTAATTATTATTAACAAATTGATAAGAATTCATAGAATCCACGAATAAACAAGTTTTTGCAGCAAAATTAAACATATGTACGTATATAGTGCGAAAGATGCACACGATTATGGAAAAAATATAATAAATGTCGACGAGGTTATGTAGATATAATGAACATTTCTTGCATTAACTAAACGAAAGCAACAGTGGGAAACAACTGGAACAAATACCGATAGATTATTACTTTCATACACGTGTTTGAAATATTGTCCATTTGAATTGCTCTTTTGTATTTATCAGCAACCAGGATTTTCGTGTTAATCCGATAATTTCGGTTTTAACGTATTTGTTATCGCGGCGGTAACGCGTTGAAAATATCCGCAAATTAAATACAGTGAAATTAGTATCGAGCAAGCGCTCGAATTTCCACGTTTTACCGGATAGATAACGCTCAAATGACTAATTATACATTCCCTCCGCCTCGAATTTTATTCTTCCGTGGTGAAAACGAAAATTTAGTAACTGACAGTTCAATTATAATTTTCCACACAAGCATGTGATAAGAGAGATATAAATCTCGTAATGCGTACATATGACTATGAGATCACTATTCCTCGAATTTAATTACCTTCAACAATTTCGTCAGTCTTAAAAGATCTGTAAAATAATTTTTACAACCGTCAGAAGTTCAATCAAGATCAATTTAACTACGTAAAAGTCTTTTTTATAACTGGATCAATAAATTTACTGGCCAAAGTGACTAACTTCAATTTTGTACTTTTTTAAAAATTTCAGTGCCAAAACACTTGATTGGTGCTGGACTTTTTACATTTAATATGATTTCCTACTTGCTGTTTTGTGGAGTTAACCACTTTGGCAAATGAACGGATCAAATGTCACTTATGCATTCACTGTACCATTCATGGTGATTCATTATCGTGCTCCCTTTATATGTATAAGCTTGTACGATCGATCTCTGCATAATCGGATCTCCATTTCCGCCATATTCCTAACCATCAATCATACGCACAGTGGGAGACATACAGGATGGTCCACGCAATTGTTTCAGGTCATAATTCCATTATTAATGCATTTATGAAAAAATGCCACAGGAGAGAGATAAATGGCTCGAAGAGCACTACATCTGTAGGCCCTTAGATTTTTTTTAAGTGCAACAATGCACATGCAATTAACAATTGCATCATTTCTTTAAATGGAAATAAATATTGTTTGTTGCACAGATCGATTCCTCTGTTCATTCTATGTAAAAAATTATTAGGGTACCACTGGCAAAAAAATTATTAGTTCTCGAGATATTTTCAAAAAATGTCTTTATTGAAGAAAATGCTCAAACGCTTCATGACTATTATGTAGTAAACGTAAATATAAAAAAAAATAACGTAGATAATTTAAATAAAGTTTGAAAACAACAAAAAAACGTTATCAGAAATGTTTACAATGTAATGAAGAAGCGTTCGAGTATCTTCTTCAATAAAGACATTTTTCGAGAATCGAGAAAGTTGTGTTCGACCAAAGTTGAACTACATTTAAGTGTGCACAACTTTTGTAAATATGATTCTTGTAGATATGAATGTTACCTTTTATTTTCTAAATAAAAGTACGGAATTTTAAACTGTTTTTTTATTAAATCATAAAAATCCGACGACTATAAACATGTAACCAGAAAGAATTATGTGTCTTTTGTTATAACATATTTAGAGTAGTTGGATTTGTCACGATTCGTTCTAATGAAAAATGGTACATAGTGTCATTTGCAAAACAAAAGGTAGCATCTGTTTCTGAAAAAAATGCAGACAAACAAACTTAATATGTTTACTTAAATATGTTTGAACTTTTGTTTAACACAATTTTTAGTAAACTTGATGGAATCTCTTGCAATTTCGTGGCGACATTCGCATGGGACACCCGCTATAAGCATATGAAAAATGGCAGAATTTAATTTCTTACTTGGAGATTGTACATGCTCGCGATTTCTTCGAATCTCGGATAATCCGCGCTCAATTTTGGCAGCTTGGCGTGAACGGAGGCCCTGATGGTGGTTCCCAGGTTGGTCGGGCAGAAGGTAAGGTAGCCGAGTCTTCGGTGCCGTGAGAATTTCAGTTTCTGGCCAACTTCGGTAACCGCCTTAACAAGCCTCGCATGCACGGACGACAGGTTCCCGCCCTTTTCCATCGATATCAGACGCAAGTGATCTTCTTCGTTGCACCAGACGAGAAAAGTTTTCGCGTCGTTAAAAAATATTCCTCTACCTGGAAACCAGATTTCGAACGATGAAAAAAGATGCAGTCAGCCAATTATGTCTTTCCGATTAACCGTCGGACAAAATGATACTAAACTGTATCTATGAAATACTTCACGTCTCGTAATTAACAAAGTACATAATATTTCTTTATTCGTTTACACAGGGTGTAAGAAAACTTGTTAGAGGACCCGGAAATGGGAAACTCGTGGGGTGATTTAGAAAAATCTTTGCTGTTATTGAATCTCCAACTTGATATTACGCACAGACCATTTCCAAGAAACAAAGTGAAATTATTCGTTAATTATTAGGTTCACGGCTAATAAAGGTCGGTACCTTTTTACTCAAAATTTAACGCTCTTCGATATTTTGGCATAAAAAATATAGCATTCTATTTAAAAAAACGAAGTTGACCTTCAAATCTCCGAAACGCTTCCACTTACAAAAACAATATATGCATTACATAATGTATCCCTCCAAACCATACAACTTTTCTATAAAAAGTTTTTTCATAGAACGCATATTTTAGAAGTTATTCAGGGTGAACGAACAACAAATCATGGTTCCAATAAGAAAATGAAGAAAAAAATGGATGATATCAAATAAAGAATGTTCTATTTCTCAGAAAGAGCTCCAAAAAATACGAAAGTTATCTTTTGCTTTAAAAAAAGTTCTATTCGAACTTATATATATGTTTCGTTTAAGAAAAACTATGTTCCTGTGGAATTGTTATGGAAAGAAATGTTACCCTTAGGACCTTCTTTAAACAGTGTTCTCGTGGAACAGATATTTTAGAATCTGTGTAATAAAAGTTCCATGAAATATTATTTTAGAAACGTTTTACAAAATGGGTCTCATATTCGGCTACTTTACTCTGCTTAATTCACTGATCGCTGTTGATTATCAGCTATTCGAATGTCGACAATTTCATGTGGTACCTGGTTAGCAAGTATAATAATCAAAACTTTTCTGATAATTATGAAAATTTTAGACAAACAGAATTCAATCAAATTAATTTTATACGTAATCTTTGTAACACTACTCATATACAAGAATATGAGCCTAACAGCCTAAAATAGCATATGATACTTACATAGTCATGTTTATTAGATTAAATTCATGTAGATAATTAATGGTCGCTATTCATCAACCATAACCCCATTATTACAAACATTACACATTCGTTTTACACTTATATGTAGAATGAAATATTCATTTAAAATAAAACCATTTATTTTTTAAGAATCGTCCTTTCATTCTATCATAATAAAAATTAAAAATTAGACGCATATTTTGATTTTCGTTACATTCCACGCCTACCTGTTCCGAACATAATGTATCGCTTGGTGACATTTCCATACAGAACAAGAAGTAAATCTTGCATCAATGAAAACGTAATCGAAAGTTGGTTCACCGAGTACGCGTTGTTCTCTATGTTTCAGTTCGCCTCGAGCAACGCGAAATTGAATTATTAATGCTCCGTTTCAGCTGCGCCGTGTGTATAGTGTATGTAGCAGTGACAGAAACGCGTACGCGTTCTCGAAGAACTGGAAAAGCGGGAGTTCTACGAGGACTATAAACCCTTCTTTACCTTTAACATAGTTGTATCTTTTTATATCTTGGATCTATAATCTTATAACGGAAGTGGAGGCGTACTGCGAAAAAGTCAGGCATGTTAGACATTTACCGATACGAATTAATACACTTGTTGGGCCTATTGAAAAGTTTCTGTCGTTCGTCTTTGCGAAAAATAATTAACTCTCTTTATTGTATTCATAATTAATTATTTTATAAAATTCTCCCTGCTTTCCATTACTTTTTGATATCATTTATGTAGCAGATTAATTTCGTGGTGAAAAAATGGTAATGGTTTTCAAGAAATATAATCCTATTAACTTTAATAAAATTATTTTTAAATAAAGTTTGATATAATGTGAATATGTTGTAATCTGTGGGATAGAGGTCTGTAAAATGCATTACATACGGAAGAATTTGTTCAAAGCAAAGTTGAAACTATTTATTTTTTGAGAAGATTTTACAAGAAGATGACTGCAACTTCATTGGCCAGTAAATAGCATGTCTTCCTTAATTCGCAATTTAAGTGTTTCAACCAATATCTACATACATAGTTGGTTAATAAATTCTGTCTCAAATCGACGAATGATTAAAGATTAAGAGCTTGTATAAAATCAAAAGGAGAACATTTTGAATAATTTATATAAACATCTTTACGTGACCAGTGGTAGAATATGTTCCAATAAATTGTTTGTCCTACACATTGTTATTCTCTTGTTAATTGTCAATACCGTATGCGACAGAATTTATTACTTAACACTTAACTGTACATATATATTGTCCTCCATCGTTAAACTGTTATTATCTAAAGAATTATGCTTTTCCAAGGTTTTTCGAAATAGTTGGAAAACCACCAGTATTTCACATTTCAATTAAAGTTAAAATATCCTACGTGATTTGTAGGACCCTGAAAGCAGTTAAATTTATTTCTAACTGTTTTTTAGACGATTTTAGTTTTTCCCATGACTAATTTGTATTGTCCAATGTAACATCAACTAACAAAAGTTACATGTCCTAAGTTATTACTTGAAATGTAAAAACATTTCAGCAGAAGGAAAAAAAAATTTTATTACGAAATTGAAGCATGTTTCCTTACATTTTGGGAATAATTAACAGTTTCAGATAATTGAAAAATATACACAGTTCTTTTATTGTAGTGTTTCTAAAAATATACTTAGAATGCTCAATTTCCCTCTGAACGGAGGCTAAGCTCCGTAATATCTTCTAACCCTTTTGAGCCGTTTAATCTCAACAGTCAAGAGATTTCCCAAGGCCAACGTGATGAAAATCACTAATGCAAATTCGCTTAATCACTTGACCCTTAGACGGCTTTCTAGCATACTGCGAACCACAAGGCAGCCATTGAGCGCGATATATTCGAGTTTACGTTTCAATTAAAGGAATTACGTTCCATTCGAACTTCAACAGGAGATAATTTTTCGAATACATTATCAATTACATTTCTTCACTTTCAAAGTATACGCCGACGTGAAAAAGGTATCAATTCATACTATTAATTTATAACTTCTGAATAAAATATTTTGCTAAAAATTGTTTTTACAACTACTCGGTATAAATGCATTACTGTATGAAAATAATTACTCCTTTAATAACAGAATGACTAAAAATGTTATGTAGAATTACTTCTATTGCTATAAACGTCTCACTCAAAAATTAATGTTTTTTGTCGTTTGCATCAACAATGCAACGAAGTATCAAACTCATAAATTTGTAAATGGTAACTAAAGGGTTATATACCCGTATATTAATAAATAAATAAATCATTCATTGGGGAATAAAAAAAAATGAATATTTCTCGTTGAAAAGCAAATGTAAGTTCTACTTTACACAACGATGTAGTTCAAAAAAGTTCAGATTTTAATGATTTAAGTCAAAAGTGCATAGAAAGAAAACAATTCCTATTAAATATAAATAGATTAAAAATTTAGTCAATACTGGATCATAAGACACATGAAGCGCTAAAAGTTTAAGGATAACAAAGATTATATCTTAAACAAACTGATACATGATGTGACTTCTACGCTGAAGATGTTTATGCAAATTGAAATTTTTAGATTTATCTAAAAAAGAAAAATAAATAGAAACTGATTTCTTCGTCAGTAATGCTCTCTTACGTTGAAAATAAAATAATGTCTTTATTAAATATTCGTGAAGTTTCTATTTCACTGCATTTTCTATACTGAAACATTCTATAAATGCACGTCTTTAAACGTAAAAGTTTCTATTCTATCGGACGCAATATTGTTCAACGCAATTTCCTTGCTTCTTATGCAACACCCACCTTACTCCCATTAAAGTAGACACTAATGGCTTTAAAGTATCGAGAAATCTGATCTTGATTGCAAAACTTCTTTTTCTGATGCCTGTCTCATCAAAGTTAGTAATTTCTATCTCAGACATTATCTCAATGTAATCCAGATATTCATGGTCTTATTGTTAAACAATGCATACAGTATAATATTAATACAAATACAACAATTTTTCAGTTCTATACCTCTGGTACTTACACTATAGCCCATAAGTATAGGAACACTTATAAAACCTTTCGAATTTTTTATTTCAAATGATTCATTTTCAAATAGCGGCAGTCATTGCAAAGTAATGCAAAGCATTTCACGAAAAAAGCACTTCGTGAATACTATGTATTATTGTTGGATTAATAATTGCTGAAACTTACTAAATACGTGACTTTTACAACGTAATGACATTTATCATGAAGTTTTCCAGGTTTGCCTTAAAAAAATTCCCAAATATGCATGTTTTTTTGGCCTTCCTATTGATCATGCGACTCCTGTAGTATAATCTGCGAGAGTTATCATAATGGTTTTACTTTTTTTTAACTGTATTCCACGAATTCAACCCTCCTGCAACTTATATAGATAATAAACTAAATAGTGACGCGTCACTTCTGATTTTTTCGTAGGTGTCACTCAAAGGGATGTTTGCAAAAACCACCCCCAAAAAATTGATTCTTTTATTTCTACCCTTAACAAGTGATTCACAATTCCGGGAAAAATATATGTTACAGAGTTAAAAATTACCTACTATCTGCATGTTGAAGCATTGAAATATCTTAATTAGTTGTCGAAAAAAAAAATGGTAAAGTTTAGGGTTGTTATCCCAATATCACCCTTACGAGAAGGGATAGAGACTTGAAATTACTCACAGTTGTTTGTTTTAGGCAAAGAACATTATTTGGTAAACATAAATACTAAAATTGGTGCTGGGGCCGTTTTCCCATGCTTACCCAGCTAGATCCTTTGTAAATATTTTACAAGTAGGGTAACTGAAACAATTATAGACATTCTTGCAGTTGCTCCGCGGGCTTGTTGTTGTAAAAAAATAATAATAAACTATTAATTATTGTTTTCTTCGTGTCTTCTAGTGCTTTTAATTGTTCTAGAATTTCCCAAGAAAATTAAAATTTGATTTTATACCGAGCAGAAGGGAAAATAAGAGCTTATTGCACCTATTATGGAGTGTCTTATTAAAAATATAATACTTATTGTATATATTTTTTTTCACTTTACCTATACCATAAAACTATATTGTTCAATTTTATTTATAACATCTTTACATACGTACAGGCGCGACTTTTGAAGAATCACAACCAAACTGTTGTGTTTTTTTCCAAGGCCTGGTAACAATTTTACTGTACTATTATAAAACTGATCAACGAAAACTATATAATTCAGAAAATAATAGAAAACACGAGAATCTCTTATTTCTTACACAATATTAACTTTCAATTATTGCTAATACCTTGAGTTCGAATATTTATGGATGATAGTGTATATCGCCTCCTTCCTTATGATATTTCGTTTCATATTTAACTATAAAATCACTATAAATAATCAGAGTGATGTATAATATAATTCTTATTAAAGACTATATATTAAGGTTTCAACGTTGTAGCCAGCATTTAAACAGGTTCTGGAAACTTGGTAATGGTTTCGTTCGAAGATTGAGTAGCGTAAAAAAAGTGGGGAAATTATAGCAGGAGTCGTGGTACTCATCAACTTGGTATTTCACTAACCTGTCCCTCGCCGAATGTACTTTAATCCCAGAAACTTTCGGTTTAATCTTCGTTTAAACTTGAACCCCCAATTTCGACCGTTTGGCTTACCGAGGATTAATGTTTTCAAACGAGCTAAAGGAACTTGAGGCATTGTAATTGAATGTTTTACGTAAGCTCTGGCCAACTGAAACAACTTCAACCGACGAACAAATTGAACTGGAGTTCGGTGTGTCGAAAATAAAATTAATTCCAGACAAAAAATGGAGGTGTGTATGTGTTCAAATAAATGGAATTTTGTTAAAAGGACTCTGTTCCCTTTGAAATCGGAAGATCAATTATATAGTTTCATATTTCCACGTATTTTATTCGACATGGGGACCAAAGTTTGAAAAGAAAGAAATGCTATATATGGACGCAGCTATTGAACCGTACAGATTAAAAAGAAACGAAACGTTGAGACTTTTCAATTGGAAAACTCTGTTGTAAAAACATCCGAGCGCACTTTGATTAGCGGACATATCACCAGTGATCTGTGCGAGAGCACACTTTTTCACGAGATATTGCTATCTTCGAATGTTATTTCTTTGTTTAATGTCAATTTAAATAAGCAGAAGAATAACAGTTTGAATGTTATAGTTACATTGCTGAAGTTTATGCGAGCTCTACATAATTACAAGTGAACTCATAAAAAGTAGGATGACACTTACTTGCTCTATTTTGGATTCTATTAGATTAAAAATAAATTAAAAATAATTTCGAACCTTATAAAAACTTTAAAGTACTTATGTGATTATATTTAGAACAGTGGGGTCAGTTGTGAACGCATGAAATCTCTAATTGAGTTATAATGAATTATAGGGACCAGGACTCATAAAACAAATTATAATCGACCTTCAATTATACCGTGACATCAAACGTTTCCAGGCAGAAAATATTATGTTATTATATTATGTTATTTACTGTCTTCGAGTACACACTAAGAAACCAGGAAGTTGACGAGCAGTTGAAGGTTACTGTAGATTTATAGTTTACTTTACACTGTATAGGCTATAATTGAAAACACTTTCAATTTGCCAGTGAATCGGTTCACTTATAAATTTCCAATTGTTTTTACGCGATGTAACTGATCGATCTGTATAAATTTACGAAAAAGTTTCCGAGGAAAGATAGGCTGATCGTCACTCACCGGATGGCCAGAACCGATTGGAGTTCGCCGCTTCCAAAAATCGATCGCCCTCTTTGAACAGAAAATGATCGTCTATGAGCTGCTGTTGCGTCTCTTTGTCCATCGCCATTAGTGTGTAAAATGTCCCTTTCAGTTCGCCTTCTAACGATTTTAAGGCCATTTGCACCTAAAAATATGGAAGATTCATGGCGTAAACAGATTAATAATTGCACGGCTGTCAATGGGTCTTTTCAGGCCCAGCAGGCATGTTTCTTTCATTCATTTTTCCCTCAATTTTTTATTAAGGTTTCTGGTATTCCTTATACACTTCATAACCTTTATTAATATAGGGTGGTCCACGCAATTGTTTCAGGTCATAATTCCGTTATTAATGCATTTATGGAAAAATGCCAAAGGAGAAGGATAAATGGCTCGAAGAGCACTACATCTGTACGCCCTTAGATTTTTTTTACGTGCAACAGTGCATGTGCAATTAACAATTGCATCGTTTCTTTAAATGGAAATGCATATTGTTTGTTGCACAGATCGATTCCTCTATTCATTCTACGTAAAAAATGATTAGGGTATTTCTTTATTAGATATTTTCAAAAACTGTCTTCATTGAAGGTAATGCTCAAACGCTTCTCCATTACGTTGCAAAACATTTCTGATAACGTTTTTGTATTGTTTTCATAACTTTGTTTGAATTATCTGTAGTTATTGCTACGTATTCCAGTATGATTCTTTCTCTCAAATCCTCCACAGTATTTATGAACGGTATTTACGTTAAACATTTTTTGAAAATATCTCGAGAACTAATAACTTTTTTTGCCACGATACCCTAATAATTTTTTAACTAAAATATTTGGCGACGACCATGCTAGTGTTAAATGAGCTGTTCCAGCCGTTTGTCGAGAATTTATATACTTCCCCCGTTTGCCGTAACTTGACGACAAGGGACAGTTAAACCGGATTAGGAAATGCAATCGTTTCCCTTAACAGGTAAGGACGGATTTCGTTTACCAGCAGAAATCAATTAGCTACGTGCACATTGTGCTTCGATTTAATTCTTTTGAGGGCAACGAACCGTACGTCATACAGTCATTCGAAGTTCCTGTTTTTCAGTTTAGTTCAATTTATGCTCATTGACGCGTTCTGAATTGAATGAAATGCGAGGTTATTGAGAATTTTACTTGCTTCTCGTTTCGAAATAATGGCAATTGTGGAAATAAAAATTTAAGTTGATACGTTTGCTCGAACATTCCTGTCGACTGATCCTTTGTAACGCAAAGTCGATCAATCAGTTTCAAATGTTAACGCTAATTAGCGCCTGATAATTGTCTATTTAATTTTACGTGTCTGGTTATTTATTCGTTTCTTTACACTGGTTGTTGTAAGAATATTTGGGCCAAAAAGAGAAAATGACACTATTCATTGCTTTTAATAACTGATTTCTGGAATGACAGTACAGCTTTCACTCCGAAGGAAATCAACTGGAATAAAAGTAGCAATTTTTTTTGCTTAGCGAGCAGTATACAGGGTGTAACAAAAACGTTGAAGGACCCGGAAATGGGAGACTCGTGAGGTGATTTGAAACAGGTTTTTCCTTAGCAAAAATGTTATCCGAGGCTTCGTTAACGAGATATTAACGAAAAACACCGACCAATCAGAGCGCGAGTCTGCCGGCTGAGTTCCCGCGGTAATGTTGGCTACCAATCGCAGCGCGTAGGGAACTCGGCCGGCAGACTCGCGCTCTGATTGGTCGGTGTTTTTCGTTAATATCTCGTGAACGAACCCTCGGATAACATTTTTGCTAAGGAAAAACCTCTTTGAAATCACCCCACGAGTCTCCCATTTCCAGGTCCTCTAACATTTTTTTTACACTATTACCTTATTTTCCAGCTCTTGATAGTCATTCATAGTCATTGTGGGATTCAACGTGTACCCGTCGATCGACCTTGCACAACGAATTCTCGTCGAGATCACGTACTTCCCGTCCGGATCAAGATCACCCAGCTCCTCGGATGATCCCCAGTCTAACTCCGGATGTACGTCTTGTGGCGTGAAATTACCATGATATTCCTCGATCACAGGATCGAAAAGTTCGGCGAATATGTCGTAAGATTGCTGATCGGCCGCGTACAATCCAACGTGTGAATCTGGATTCTTTAAACCTGATTGAATCACGTCCATCAACGTCGATCCGTTGTTGGTCGCACGTATCTTCAGTTTATCGAAGATCGCCCGGCTCAAGTGTTTCTTCAACAGAGACGCGCTATCGATCTTCTCGTACTCCGTGTAGGCGTTCTCAAGTGCCTTCACTTTCTCGTCGTCTTCAGTCATGAAGACCGGCACCACCGACGCCTTCTGCTTCTTTGCACAAGCACAGAGACGCTTGTCGCACATTTTGCTTGCCGTTCGTCTTCTCCCTCGTTTTCTTACCTTCCCCTAGCTTTGTGTCTGGCCGCTGAAACGTGGAATAACGAATCTGCAGCTCGAAATTATTTTCAACGCTAAAACTCGGCCGACGATAAACGTATATGTTTCTATTGGCGCGATAAACATGGGAAACTTTTGAAAGTATACGTTATATTTATAAATTAACTAATTCCGTAGTTTTCATATTACTATGAAAGTTGTAAATAATCTGAGAAACGTATTGAAATGGTCTGTATACAGGGTGTCCCACGTAACGCTTTTCGCTAATTTGTGACTATTTACGGCCATGCAAAAAAAAGTGTTTCGAACCGTACATAAATGGTATCGGGTGCTCTACAAATGACGGTGAAAAAAATTCCGAAAACACTTTGTTTACATAGCGAAACTAAGGTCACCTTGCTTAACATAAATAGGATCGTATGTTTTTGTTTTTCATGAGATTGTGGGGGACCTCACGGAAATTGAAAAAGCATAGTACTTGGTATTTTTTCAATTCAGTACCAGGTGTACAGTAGTGGAAATAATATTTCATTTTGGAACAGTGTAAACTGTAAACATATCTAGGGCAGAGTGTAAATAAAGTCTACTGTGAACCTGGTACTGAGTTAGTAAAAATATCAAGTGCTTTTTGAATTTGTCGTGAAGTCCCCTACAATCTCATGAAAGAAAAAAGCATACGGTCCCATTTATGTTAACCAAGGTCACCTTGGTTTCGCTATGTAAACAAAGTATTTTCGGATTTTTTTTAACGTCATTCGTAGAGCATTCGATACCATTTAAATACGGTTCAAAACACTTTTTGTTGAATGGTAGCACATGATCGAAAAATAGTGAGTCACGTTACGTGGAACACCCTGCATATCGTTACAAGAGTGTACTAACTAGTCATTTTGACTACTTTGGTAGTTCTAGTGTTGAATCGACCGTTATTATTATATATATAGTGTTTTCAACTATAAATATGAATTATGCAAATGAAATCACAACATATTACAGCTCTAGATTAATTTGTATAACACAATTTTTTTTAAATTATTATGAATAAGTAAGTGAATATATATGTACACATTTGTATACATACAGTTGTTTTGTAATATGAACGATGTTCGTTAATATAAATTTTTAAGTGCTTAACAAAATTTGACCACACTGACTTCGCAACAAAATATGCTTATATGTATGTATACAGTAATCTATATGTATATCAGCGTAATATGTTGTGATTTCATTTGCTGTACAATTCTGTACAATCGCTATGAGAATCAGTTCTATAACCGTTTTAGAATTTATACAGGGTGTCCCACCTAACTCTGCCACTTTTAATTATTCTCTTATTTGTCACGATATAAAAAAATGGTTTGGGGGATAGTTAGTGTATATTAGGGGGGGAAATTAGACTATGAGATTAAAGGTTATCTCAAGGTCATATCTTCTGAGATTTCTCTAATGGTAATGTTTTTTTAAATGAAATGCCTTGTTTTTTTGTATGCTATTACAAAGAAGGGATCAAAACGTAACCAACAATATATCACACTATGGGGTGACAATACTTTGAACATACACTAAAATAATAAATAACGCGATTATGGCGTTTATTTTGTTTCTGCAATTCATTGTCTGTGAGCTTCCACCTCAACCAGTTATGTGCGAAATTTTCAGCCCAAGGTCATTTCAAGGTCATAGTGTGTACATTGTTGGAAACGTTTTGATCTCCTCTTTGTAATGGCAAACAAAAAAATAGGGCATTCCATTTAAAAAAACGTTACCATTAGATAAATCTCAGAAGATATGACCTTGAGATGAACATCAATCTCATAGCCTAATTCCCCCCCCCCCCTAAAATACACTACTTTTTCTCGAATCATTTTTTTTTGTACTGTGACAAATAAGAGAATAATTAAGGATGGCAGTGTTAGGTGGGACACCCTGTATAGAACCTAAAAGTAACGATTACAGAACTGATATCAGAACCTTAACTGAAACTGACATAGTCTGAATTTTAGGTTCTTCATGACAGTTATTCAAAATGAAAAGTTTTCATAATTGTTTCAATTGGAACCCTTGTGTAGCAGTTTGGAATAGTTATTTTCGGAACCGTTTGAAGCCCAGCTTTTGACTCTCGCTGTATATAAACTTAGAATCTGATGTGCGGTTGCGGATCATCGAGGTTATACGAAACTGTCGCAAGACCCGTAATGTCGTTATTATTTCAGTTCTGAACTGCTGATTATTATTTCACCTCTAACCTTTCACACGTCGTCTGGACGGTCTCTATCGCTTCTCTGAGTCGCTTGGCCGCTTTCCACCCCCTTTCGTTTTCCCTTTCCGCCTGTACCACGAAGCATCCCCCGGAGCGTCGAGTTTTAATTACACATATTTTTTGTGCGAGCCGCACTCGAGGAGTTGCGGTATCCCCCCCCCCCCCCCACTACCCTCCGCAATGTAACTAGCTTCCAAAGCGAAACACCAGGCGGCAGCTGCTGTTTCCCATGGTGTCCATCTAGTCAGACTATCGGGAAGAAGTCATTTCTATGGTGAAATAAAGAAAATATGCAACAGAAATTTCGTGTCCCAGGAAACATTCCAAAGAAGCGAACCTCGAATAATATTTCAGAGTGCTTTATAAAAACGGGAATCGAACAAAAATTTCGAAAACAGAAGCGTCATAAAATAATACTTTTTGAATGAGTAGACACTTGGCACACAATTATTTAATTTCATTAACTTTTTAAAGGTTAGGATGACGATCTTAGATACTGCTGCTTTTCACTGTGTATTATTCGAATAAAATTGTGCCCAACTGTGATGTCAAGCAATTTGAAAACTTTTTTACTTGATCTAGTTTCTCAAAAGAGTGAATAAGAGGTTTCAAAAGTCTTATCATATGTAATATCTTCTGATCTTTATTAACAATATAATAGTCAATGCTCTTAAAATAGAATGATAGCAAATATCGCCACTTCTTATCCAAATATTATTTTCGGTAGAACATTACAAAATAATGGGTAGAAATCTCTGATTTTTTAACATATTTGTCAAATCTTCAGTACATAATACTTTAAAACATGTGGAAAAATTAATCAAACGTTCACTTTTAATGAATACGTTCAAAAAATGTAACTGTCAGTAAGTGATTTACATAGATAGTAATACAGTAATATACAAAATGTTTTCTAAAATTTGAAATTCACTTACAAGGCTTCAAAGAAGCTATAAATCTGTGAATTGCGTGCAACAAAGTGGTGGAATTACTTGACACATTATGCAACAGTGAATGTATAATTTCAATGAACTGACAAACACGGAAATATGATTTAATACTGCCTTTGATACACTCAAAAATTGAAAACAGTTGCCGAATAATAGATATTCTTTAGCTAAACCACGTAAAATAAAAATTCGAAGAAATCATTATTGCCATCGCGATTAATAAACTGCGTCAGCAAAATATACTTAAATAATTCGAAAATATCTTCATAAGAGAAAATACTATTTTGTCGTTGTAATTACACGTGTCATGCATAAATAGTACTTTCTTTAACATCCACTCAACGTTTATAATTAAAGTGTGCCACGTGAACAAAAGTTAAAACACAAATAAAAAGGTTATTTTCTGCGGTTTATTTGCCGCACAGGTGGAACACACTGTATATTACAGGATTATTAACGTAAGTAATGCTGTAAGTCCCTACGGTAATAAAGCAACGCAGAAAAGCGTGTATACATTTCCGTGTATGAAATCAGGTTTAATGCTATATTCAACGCAATGCACGAATATTGAGCTCTTTACCATAAAACCTTACATTTATACAAAGACTTCAAGTGAGCAAATTAAAAATCCATGTACTCTGAAACAGATTTTCTTTAATGCGCTATCTCGGTTAGCTTGAAAGCCCGTTGTATTTGAATTTAAATGCACATTCCGCTTGCAAAACGTCGCCATACTGACCCCATCTTTAGAATGTACAATTTCACGAACAGATACTGTCGAAATTGTGACTTTTTTTCAGAGTACAATGCATATTCAAAGGAGACCGAATCTAAGTAAATTGTATTAAACGATTTACTTAACTATACTGCAAATATTACTACAATAATACTTCTTCAGTAAAATTTATTTTGCTTATACAGGGTGTCCCACTTAAGACCTGAATATCTTCATTGTTTCAAAAAAACAGTATTCAACATGGAATATTTTTTTTTTATCATTTCTTCGATTATTTTTTAGGTCGTCAGTATTTTTTTGCCAGTCTGCATGTAGTTTTATTTATTGTATCAGGTTGAACGTGTTAAGGTGCATGAAATATGTTTAACTTGTGACCTTGAGATAAACTTGAACATTGAAAAAATAAAAAAATTCTGAACAATTCAAGTTTGGTCTAATACAATATCTTGTAAAGTTTAAGGAAAGTCCGGAAATTTCGTGGCAACACTTACGTAGGACACCCTGTATATGTATGTACATAGATGTATGTATATGAAGATCACAGGGGAAAAAAGTGATAAGTCTATTTTTGTTGACTTTCTGTCGTTTAGCAGTCACAGACTTTAATATGACATAATTGAAAAGGGGAGCTACCTATCAGATCTAAGAGTCAAGTCTTCTAAAAATATACGTACAGAAAAATAAAATAAAAGTTCTAATGAAACAGTGGAATAATTTTATTAGTCCACGACAAACTCATTATTAAAAGATCACTTTAACAGATTCAACGACTATTTAAGGGCAACGTAAAAGCTGATTATTTGAAACAATAATTATTACCAGGGGAAAAAGCTGATACAAATATAACAAAATCTTCGAAACGTATTTATTAAATTTTCATTACAGTCTCAAATAAACAAGTTGTATAAAGCGACCTTTACTATTTTAATAAAATTTGAGTACAACAATTAGTAAATCAAATCTTTCTACTTTTATAAAAAAAACATTAGTCACATGGACCAATTTTAAAAAAGTTATTCTGTTTTAAAGGGTGTGCAGATACTTTGTTTATCTTATGTAACAGTGTACTGTCCAAATTGGAAATTCGTAGTTAGCAGAAAAGCAAAACTATAACTAGGACAAGTATCCATTTTTCGCAACCTTTGTTATCCATCGCATGCCCTCTTTTATTTATAGTCTTTCGAATTTGTTTCGAATTTTATCCAACGAATCCGACTTCCGACATTGCCGTTCCAATCGTGAACAACCATGAAATCCCGTTTCCGGCCCTAACCGTGTGTCGTGAAAATATTTAACTGCGACGATTGCTCATGATATTTCCAGAGAAGATAAATGTCACATGGTCGGTCGTACGTATTCAGAATATATTTTCACGCTTTTCTTTAACATAACTATTGCCAAAAAATATACGTTTATTTGCATGAAATTACTATTCGCTATGAGAATGTACTTCTGCTAGAGAGTGGTCTCCTTTCTTCATTTTTAAATAATACTGGGTTTGAGAGTCGGTATTTTATGGCAGAAAATTTGAGTAATCATTGGTACACAATGTAACGGACTCTAAATATTTAGAAAAGTTTGCGTAAATGAAAGTAATGTATAGTAATAATGTAGAATTAAATAGATCACCCCATGATGATAACTGTAATATGCATTGTCTTTCAGCGTAAATGAATGATTATAATACATTATTATTATATTATTTTTATAAAGCATATTTTATGACAGGTTACATTTAAAGTATGAAGATATTTGTTTTTTTCATTCTGGTCCAATAAAAATGTAAATATAGATAAACATCGACAAAATTTTTATGCAAGTTCCCTAAATTTCTTCGAATGTCGAGAATGAAAAAACTCATTTAACACTGGAACTACCAACATTGAATGTATTCTAATTTAATTGTAGAATATATTGATACATAGAATATATAAAACGATTTAGAGAATATATATACAATAAATTAAAAGTGAATCTAAATTCCAACGAAAGCACCATTGTCATTTCAATAATTGTAAAGAAGTTTGAAATCTGTCATTTTGACAGGTTTAGTAGTTGCAGTATTAAGAATCTACTATTCGCTAAAGCAATAGAAAAGTGGAGTTTGCAAAATCTCAAGGAACGTTTGATGCGTTCTCAAAAACCAAACGATACAATTCCTTCCATTGAAAGATTTCCAATTTTTGTCCAGAATTTATCGAGCCAGCCGTCTTTAATGCGGTTTCAGTACATTCCGAGGCTCAACCGATATATTGACAGACCTTTTCTATCGATACATTTAAGCGTCGAGAACAAATAGTCATGAAATTCAATTTCGGCATCGTCGACTTAACACAGAGCCCTCTGACCATTCAATGGAGGTCGAAGCATTGAAAGAATAAAATAAGCACCCTGGCGCGGTTTCATCGATGATTATGCTTCGGTGTTTTCATTTCGACGTTCTGGTTCTCTTGTTGTTAAGACCGCCAGCGATTTGGTAAAAACTCGAGACATTAAAAACTGTTATCGTCATCGTATGGTAGGTGAGTAGGCTCAATTGGAATATCCGATGTATCCATTCACGCTTCCGGTGGATTATTGACAACTCCATTATCTCGAGCGGGTCTGGAGAGCTTCTGTTGAATGAAAAGTCACGGTAACGTTTCGAGCATACAGTGGGTAAAAAAAGTATTCGTGCACCCTTTAAAACAGAACAACTCTTTCAAAATTGGACCAGGTGACTTGAGTTTCTTTGTGAACTCCGAAGGATTAGTGGACTAAATGATGTGTTAACAAAACGTTGATAAAGTTGCAATGGTCGGAATCGCGAAGAAAATAGTAAAGGTCGCTTTTTGCGACTTTTTTTATCTGAGATTGTAATGAAAATTTAACGAATACATTACTTAGATTTATGTTAGTTATATGCATGTTGAAAATTTCATCGAAATCGGTTAACGTTGTATAGTTAAAGATTCTTACATCTTTCGATGCCTGTTACTTGTTTCTGTATTAACCGATTTCAATGAAAGTTGCCGCATGTATATAATCGACATAAATCTTCGAAATATATTTATTAAATTTTCATTACAGTCTCAGCCAAAAAAGTTGTAAAAAACGACATTTACTATTTTCTTCGACATTTTGAAAAGTCGAATTTTTTTGTTATAAACAATTATAGCAAACCTCGCCCATTAAAAGTTTTCATGTGTCTCCTCTGGTTTTCGAGATAGTACTTTCGTGTCGAAACTTCGAGGGGTGATTTCACCCCTTAAAGTCGCGTCTCAGCCGATAAAAAAAATACGTATCCCTTATTTTTGACTGCTTAACAGACATACGAAGTTTCATCAAAATCAGAGGGGGACATTTCCGTGCCTTCCCTTGTCAGACCTACTCCGATTACTCTTTCAATGTATGTATCTGCTCTTAAATATTGCATACTGCCAATTTTTTCAAGGTCAAGGTCATACACGAGATTGCCCTTTTTCTACATAATTACCCATACAGAACAAAATACAGTATATAGTATCGAATATATTTTTGCAAATATCTCGGAAACTATAGCCGAGCGATGGTAACATTTATCGGGAAAGGTTATTTAGATTGATGACCTTGACAACATATTTCAAAGTCATTGAAATCGTTGAGGATGGACGTATTCCGAATAATTACCACAATTCTTTTTATCCATGAACTATCTAGTAATAATGATCAAAACGGTTTCGTACTGTATGTTGCTCCATTATTTTTTTCTGAATTCATGAAAATCATGTATTTTTTTAACGTTTTAACGGAAGGGTATCCTTAAGCAATTATTTAAAAAAAAACATCAAATACAGTGAATGTAGCCCCTGTAATCATACTTCGAATAACGAAAGCGTTCATGCAAACATCGAAGAACAGTGGCCATGGCGTGGGGCGGAAGGGAGGGGGGACGATCGAGAATGGGAAGAGCAGTGAATTGGACAGATCCGTCGAACGGACGGTTGGTGGTGGATATGATCAGTGGAAAAGGTTTGTTGTTACGAAGTTGGTCCGTTCTTGCCAGGGACCCGGGGCTGGATTATCGTCATCGTCACCGACGTTGTTTGAATATGCCGCATCAATTTGTACCGTCGATGTTTACTGTTATCGCCGTTCGTGATCGATCACCGTGAAGGGGCTGGCCGTTGCGTCGGGTGGGGACGCGTCGCTGCTCGCCAGTTTCTGTCAAACGGTCCGCCAAAAGTGTCGGATTATTTTTTTCTTCCTTTTTCTTTCGGTTCGCACGACCCTCAACGAAATTGATGTGATGCCCGTGATATACGGGAAAAATTGTAGAAGTCTACTGCGCCGAGACGTGTCATGGACAGCGGAAAATTGTACAGATATTATCGGCCGAACGGTTTCGGATTTCGTTGGTTGGTCCGTATAACCTAATTGTTCCTCGACTTTACGTCATTACGACTCACGTGAGTTCTTGCCGTGGAAAACAGAGAATTCTTTTTGGTTTCAGATGTACCACTTTTTGCTCGCTGACGTTAAATTGAGGCACGCTTTAAATCTGGGCTCGAATTGCGGTGTCGTCACGTTTCTCACTTTGGTTATGGCTTCGATCGTCTTATTCTGCACGCTCGCGGTGAGTCGGGCACGAACTTTATTTCGATTTGGCGGGTTTCTTTTACGCGTGCTTGTGATTTATCGTTTTATCGTCGCGGTAATTGTATCGCCCCGGTTGATAATTTATTGGAACGAGTAGAAACGAAACGGGTCGTTACCAATTAACACTCGAACTACCAAATCCGTCCAGATGACGGATTACAGACTTTTTATTTTACAATTACTGAAATTTTAGTAGTGGCGGAATTGATGTTGGTTTCTAATTTACCTACATTTGATATACTATATTATGCTAGATCGTATTATACATTACGTGTATTACTATATTATAAAATTTAATTTTGTGTACATTGAAAGCTGGTAATGAGATCGAAAATTTCGTCGATACTCAACGAATAAAAAGTTTTATCCAATTGGATGCGAAGTTACTGGAGCACAATTGTCCGAAACCATAAAAATGTGCTCAAAAGTCAAATTTTCGACGTCCTTGGAAATGCATGATATTTTAGGTATAGATTCGTACATCTACATACAGATTAAATTTTGGCTTGCCACAAGCCACCAACATTTTTTTGGGACAGCTTCGAAAATGAGAAAAAGTGACTGTTTAGAACGATCATTTTTTTTTTAATTTGCGTTCTTTGCAGCACTATAATTTTTCTGTAGATAAGAATTCAGTTAAATCTAAAAATGAAGACATCTGATATTTGAAAGTGCAAAACGTCAACAGTAAAAGCCAACGGAGATTTATTTCATCGATTAATTCCAAGTTCTGACCCACAAGTTCAGTTTCACATAATGAACACAAGAAAAAGAAGATATATAAAGATTTCAAAAATTTAATAATTTCTCCAGTGACTTCCTTCAACGAATCAGCCATTGAAACGAACTCTGAAATGGACGTGTTGCCATCAGATCCTGCAAAATATGCTAATAGGGCACCATTTACAATTCTTTTGTTAATATTATTTCCTTTTTAAATCATCTCATTAATATGAAGATCGAACAATTTTTGTACATCCTTTGTTTACTGTATACAATTATACATTGCGTAACAATACTTCGATTTTACTTAATTTCTCAAAAAACTTCAAAAGCCCCTGTGATGAGGTCATTACTGTAAAAATCTGTACACTAACAATAACAAATTTTACTAACTGCTATTTGAGGGGTAATTGTAAATCACATAAAAACTCGTATAACCATTTTGGAAATGATTGTACATAATTCATAACTTTTCTCTTTCTATATAGCCATGAGATCAAACAGTTGTCTCAGTATAGGTCCTAACAAATACAATGAAGCATAATTCGTTATTTAGCCAAGCATCCATTTTGGATTGGCGTTTTATCACCACTTAAAAAATCATTTCAATATTTTTGTGTACCCAAAAAAACATTTATACCGTAGAAATATTAAAAAGACAAGTGTAAAAAATTAAATAACAACGACCATGTAAGGTTTACATAATGGAATCTGATCGAAAATATAAAATTAATTTGTAAGGGTAGTTCTTTATCCTAGTAAAAAAAAAATAAAACCAAACTCGGATTATACAGCAAAAAAGACCTCCAAAACCGTTCCTGATATAACGAATACGGTATAAATAACAACGTTATGAATTTTGAGCTCGTATTTACGGTTTCACCATTGTTCCACTTTATTAAGCTTGATTTATATCTGATTCATCAAAGTAGCCCCTATTAATATGAATTCGTCTTTGACACCTCGCCTATTTTAAAACGACTGGACGCAGAATAGTGTGACTCTTTCGAATCTATTTACGAAACTCTCGTTCCTTAATTTAATTCTCATCCGACATCGATCGCAGAGCACAAAGACGATTGCTTCGAACGAGGAGGACTTCCTGACGCTTCAGAAGGAGATCGAAAAGGTACGCCCGGTAATAAGCATAAAAGCGAGGTGGGGGCTTGTTTCAAAAGTTTTGAGTATAACAAGATTGAACGTACGTCAATTTATCAATGGTAGGAAATATCGCTTTCCGGGAGACAGATGGGAAACTTCTACAATGTCTGCATATACAGTTCTAGCACGTGGATAGGATAAATCGTAACCTTTTTTGACCACAGACAAAAAAGGAATAAACACAAAAGGCGAACAGTCTAAAGTCAGGTTCACACTGTGTAACAAAACATTGTTATACAGGGTGTCCCACCTAACTCTGCCACCCTTAATTATTCTCCTATTTGTCACGTTACAACAAAATGGTTCTTTTTTTTAGCAAAACAAAAAAATTCATGTTTAATAGTTTTTACTTTTCTACAAATTCATGCTAGTTTTAACGAATAGAAAAGTTTCCCTCAATTCATCGTTGATTAACTGTCGTTGATATGGACATGCTATTCTAAAGACATATTTAGTTGAATTGCAAACACAGAATATTATTTTTACCCTTAATAATGATAATAAGATCAGGAGTATTTTTATTATTTGCACGAGCAGGGCCGTTCCTGGGTTGTTGGCTGCCCGGGTGCAAAAGTAGTATCGCCGCCCTTATTAATTTAATATTATTCAATTAAGAATTTGATATGCAATGTTTACTTTTATTTATATATATAATAATAATAAAATATTGATTTTAAATAAAACCATTCATTTTTTAAGAATCATTGTTTCATTTTATAAAAATCAAAAATATTTAATTTTTATTTTCATAAAATGAAACAAAGATCCTTAAAAGATGAATGGTTCTATTTCAAATGAATATTTTATTCCACATATAAGTACAAAACTAACGCATAATGTTTGTAATAACGATGATATTGTTAATAAATAGCGACAATTAATTACCTACAAGAATTTAATCCACTAAATATGGCTAAATGTCATATGCTAGGCTGACATAAACATAGTTCCTTCCAGTATACGAGTACTGTTACAAAAATTACATATGCAATTAATTTGATTAAATTCTGTCGATCTAAAATGTTCATAAGCATCGGAAAACTTTTGATTATTATTCTTACTAGTCCAAGTTTTCAATATAATAAACGATCTGCGGCCGCCCCTGAGTTTGGCTGCCTTGGTGTGGAGGCTCCTTCTGCACCCCCGCTAGGAACGGCACTGTGCACGGGAGTATGTAGTGATCGGATGAGGCTGTAACTTTGGTTCAACCATAGATAGAATAAACGTGTAAAAAAAAGATTTGCATTGTTGAACTGACCAGACTCACATAATTTTCTATGACACATTTTTTTTCGCAGGTGCATCGATAATTTGTCATAGTGCAGTTCCATTATTACAAAAAATTAAACGTACCTTTTTTCCAATGAAAATCATATTACGAGAGAAGAAAACGAAACTTTATCGTTTGTTGAGGTCTCAAAACTTTTGGAACTACTCTATGCACAAACAGAGTAATAAGAATTAACACTGATTTACAGAAATTCCCACGGAAGAAAAGCGTGACGGACATCAGGCCAGCTTACAATTGTATTCGCAAGCACGTAAGTTCGTTTCAGACGCAGTCAAGTGAACCTTTTGCGCGTACCGAAACTGCATTTCATTTTGCTCTCGAGAGTTTCGCTACGACCCTCCCTCCCCCCCCCCGGACTCCTTTGCAACAATAAGGTTAAAATAAATGGTAAATTGCTCTCTGATTTCTAGCTGCAGCAGACCAACGTGTTTCAGGAGAAGACAAAGAAAATGGTTGGTTCTTCACTGGAAATAAATTTCTTTCTCGCGAATAAACTTATCAGAGATTTTTTTCCATTTCGACAGCTATGCAAGGAGCTACTGGAGATCGATATATTGAATAGCAAGATCAACTGTATTAATAAGCTATTAAAACCGGAGGTATAGTATTTGAAGAAAATTTTCAAAATTTTTAATTTCAATCTTCTCTAACAATTTAGAAGGTGTGTATAATTTAAGGTGACATTACTGTTTTATCAGACTCAATTACGTTAAATTTTTGTAATAGTCATTACATACTTGGAATGATGTAACATTCATTTTCGCAGTCCTTCGTAAATTTAGAGTCGTGTCTCTTCTGCAAGATAAATTGTCGCGAGAAACTGAATGCTATAATATTAGTATTAAATTTGAATATTTTACATGATTTTTTTTAAGTTTATCTGCAATTTTATAGACTGGATTATATTCAGAATCATTTCTTCTGTTTTATCATTTTCAAGGACATGGAAATATTTATTTCCTGAATACGTTATTCTTAATAATTAGAATGAAAAATTAATTTGAAAAATGAAAAATTAATATTAATGTATCACTATTCAATTTTGTACTGAAAACTTCAAGATTACGTATGTACAATGAGAAATGTAATTAATTACATTGTTCTTTCGTCCTGTTTACATAATACAATTTACTTAATTGCGAACTAAAGTTTCAGTAAAAAGTGAACGTAAATTATTTAGTATTGCAAAAAAATGCACATTCTACTATGGGTTTTACAAAAGTTACTTTTTCAAAAGCATCGTTACAAGCATTTCAATCGGGAATGCCCCAATTCAAATCGCTACAATCTCAGAAATAGTTCATTGAAAACTTTCGGACAAACTTGACGTTACAACACATGTAGTAAAGAAAATAACTCATCAGCGTGACCAGGAAATATACAGTGTGTCTCACGAACTGTATCCACTTAAACATCTTGATTATTTCAAACAATACGAGAAAATGTTGCTTATAGAAGTTGTAGGGTTTTAGAAACTACATAATGTGGTATAAATGATATTCTTGCAAGTGGAAGCGTAGAGAAGACATACAGGTCACTTTTGTTTTTTTAAATGGAATGTCCAATTTTGTGTGCTCGATTTCAATAGAATGGCGTATTCTGAGTAACTATGTGGAAGACTTGGCAACGTTGCTGAAGTAGGGTCATACCCGCGAAATACAAATACATTTAAAAAATATTTTAGTTATTTTGTGTTTTAGTGAATTCTAATTTTCCAAATTATAATGCGCGAGAATATAATGAACTTTACATATAAGAATATTAAATATTAACTACGCGGGAAAACTGAACACGCACCACGTATATAGATATGCGTGCAAAAACAACGTTGCCAAACCTACCAAATACGAGCACAGTGGAGTCATACGACTAACCAAAATATATTTTTTATTTACAATATAATGATGCATGATCAATGGAAATGTTGAATTTCATAGATGTAATTTTTATACATTATTAAAATGTATTAGCGGGTGTTTAATACCAATTATTAATATGATGCTTTATTGATTAGAGAGTCAGGTACGAACCACCTTAAGTTTCACTTAGGACGCCAATCGGCGTGCCCCATCGTTAAGGTGTTAATATATCTGTGTCAGTAGCATATCTGAGAGGATGCACTATATGCAAATAGAGGAGGCACATGAGCCGCAGTCTTTACCAATCATAAATTAACTTTGAGGAATTTATTCCCGCTCACGTCGCCTTCCTTATGTCGAAAGATATGGGAATTTCAGATCATGTCTGTGTTATAAGACATACAACGACGAAGCCTTAACGAACGATCTATGTAGATGTCAGCAGATATGTAGATTATTATTAGGTCGTTACACGTGAAATGGAAGAATTTACTGAGCAGCATGTAGTCAACGTTACCGCGGGAACTCGGTCGGCAGACTCGCGCACTGATTGGTCGGGGTTTTTCGTTAATATCTCGATAACAAAGCTTCGAATAACATTTTTGCTAAGGAAAAACTTGTTTCATATCACCACACGAGACTCCCATTTCCGGGTCCTCCAACATTTTTGTTACACCCTGTATGTGTATGGGTCGGTGTATTCCTGACGCACAGGTCAACTGTCGCATATAATACAGTCGCCGTAACTGCGTCCAAGGCCTCCATTTAACTGCGCGCGCAGCCCTTTGCGCGTAGTTATGGCGACTGTATGACATGATATGCTACAGCTGAGTATGCATTGGGAGTACGCTGACGGAGATCAACGATTGTTTATGTTAGGGCCTATAAGACGACTCAGATGTCTCGAAGAAATCGATTCTTAAGTATTGAGTATTCGCGTGGAAGCGTGGCAGATGTTTTATATGCTTCAATAATGATAATGAATATAAATTCAAGTGTGATAATTGCTAAAGATATACAGGGCGGGGCTAAACTTATACTACCTTGGTAAAAAAGAGTTCCTACAAACGTATATTCAAAAATGCTTGATTGAAAAGCTATAAGGGTTCAAAGATTTTTATCAATTGTTATGGCGATTATAAGAAATGTTCGAAATTTCCTCCTTCTGCAAGAATGCAAGCTTCCATTTATCGAACTATTGAACTATGAAAACTAAGTTTCTATGAACTTTTTTTGTCTACTTGGCCTCATTAATACGTAGTATAAGCTGGTCCCCGGCATTTTTGGTCACTCTCTATGAGTAAAAGATATTCTGATTCAAAAAACTCTATTTATGTTTCACTTTTAAATTACTCACATTTAATCGTTTATTTATATATATGTGTATATATATCCCTGTATATTTATATAAATATGAATTTTTATTAGCTTAGAATTGTTTATTTCGGCTCCTAAATTCCCAGCTTGAAGTGAATCCACAACGGTACATGTTTACCGCTCGAAGTATATCAAATTATAAAGTTACGAGGCCATATTACTAACATTCCTAGTGACTCCCGACAGTTTAGTTGCAAGTTCGTCCGTGACTACCAACATTCCTAGTGGCTACCTGAATTGGTTCATTACCATTTGAATAATTGTTTATCGTTTCAGTTTAGCTTTGTTATTTTTAATAAAATTACTCCCTTTTGTGGTAATAGTAATGGATATTGGTTATTATGATCAGGTGTATCCGGTTTCATGGTTTTATGATTGACACAGACGAGAAAATACATATTCTCGATATATTTACAATTTACAGAGCAACGAGTTATAAAATAGTAGCAATATTTCGGTAATTTGCTTTTCGTACAAATTAAATGTTTACAGATCCTGTTACCGGAATATGTAGACTTGCGTTCAGTTTAATTGAAACGCTAAATTTTGTTGATGTATCGATTTACCTGTTCAGTAACTGTGTAATGTCTTCACAGAAGGCTATGTATTTATTCTGTTTTCTTTTTCTTCTAGTTGATTTACTGTTATATTATTCGTGTTACGCTGCCATGTTATTTTATATTATACAGTAGAACGCCGAATACACTGTCCACCAAATTAAAACTTTTTTTCTGATCTGCAATATCCATTGGGAGATGTATTCCATCACAGTCTTTATTTTATGTTTATTATGCTGTTCCTTCAGAGTCTTTATTTTATTCATTCATTTCATTAGTTTTATGTACATGTATTATCATTTTGTAGGTAATAAATATGTACATACATTAAACTTTTTTATATTTACTGAAAAAACAGTACAAAAATTCAGTGAACCTTTTATTCCCACTATCTGACCCAGACCCCCCGCCCCATAATGGAAGCATCAGAGATGGGCAAAATTTGTATTTAAATAAAAATTTGGAATAATGAATAAAAGAAAAAAAAACTGTATTCGTTGTTTGAAGCTTGAATAAAAAAAGTATCTTTATTCGACGAGAATTATCCGACGAATAAAAGATAATTTTTGTTATTCGGGGCGTTTTATTCATAGCGTCGATGATATTTTCATCTTTTATTTGTATTTTTTATTCGAAGGCTTTGAATAAATCTTCAAATAACTTTGGCCAGCCAGTCAGCTCGAAAAAACAGACGTCGATGAGATAAGGAATCACACACGAATGAAAATTTAAACTTTTACAATTTTTAATATATATTAATGAAAATGTGTGTTATGAATGAATTGGAAAGATTCTCGCAATGAAAATGCGTCCAAATTCGAGTGTAATTAAACAATTTTTGCTCATACATACTGTTGCGGATAAAAATGATATATTATTGAAAATAGGCCGAATGATGTCGTATTTGGACTCATTTCCACAGGCAGAATCTGCTCAGTTCATTCGTGACACTTTAATGAACGTATACTGAAAACTATAAAAGATTAAATTTTCGTTCATGCGTGCTACGTTTCATTCTTTATTTGTTTACATTGTATTTCGATCGTCGGTCGCTGACTTTCACGTTCAGCCTTCTAATCCGGGAGTCAGTGAACTTTTTTCTTACGTCATTTCATTACAATGTTGGATTCCGGGTTGTGGAATTGAGTGGAACGCTTAATAAAAGAATCTTGAAGAGATTTTATTCGACTACGCGTCATAGAGTTGTCGTAAGATTTTAGATTATACGTTTCGGAGTTCTCAAGTCTCCGTCGGGACCAGAATTACACCCTGTGTCTTTTCGGAAAGCTTATATATAATAGTATTAGATGTTGTGGTAGGGAGAAAGTTGCAATGGCCCTTAGCTACAGAATGAATCAGAAACCTTCGCTAGGATTTTTGATTTTGAAAAGAGCAGAAGCGACTATGACTAAGATGTTTTGGACATAACAGTTCGGTTGTGATTATCAGATAGGGCCATTGGTGAGTCGGAAACCTGGTCATCCAACAACAGCTGAAAATTTCATAATCCTTTTTTCCAGTTTCATTACTAACTTTTATGCAGTACGTTTTAATTTTTATGCAATTTTTTAAACTTTATGTATAAACTTAGTAAACCTCGTGGTATTTTTAACTTTTATGTAACATTATTTTAATTTGATTTAATAGTAAATTAAATGTATAATATAAATTTGTAAAATAGAATTTTTTTATTATTCTGTTACGAACATTGTTGAATAGAATTCGATCTACTAACTAGCTAACGATTACAATTAATATTTTATTAGTTCATTAAATTAACAACTTACTACATTACAATACTGTTATAGTTGTAGAAATTAAATAGTATAATAATACGAAGACGTATAATATTCATGTATTCTATTATATTATAGAAATATACATATCATATATTGTATTATAGAATTTCTATGTATTTCAATTCATATAAGTTATAAAAAAATGTTATTTAAGTGACAAGACTGCCATTAGACCTGTGTTAAAAACTCAACTTTTTACAAGCTTTTTCTTATTCATTTGATCGGCGACCGAGTCTCAAACTTTTTTTGTGCGTGTATTTCTTTCTAATAAACAATCTGTATGAGTTTTATTTAATTATCTAGTCTTTCGAATTTGGCACGAACCACCTTAAGTGACTCTTTCTTCTTGATTTTCTGCTCGCACTATAATCCAGAATTCACACCACTTACAATAGATTCCCTCACAATGACATCGGGTTGTTCTTCGCACAGTTCATCATATTTTTAACAATGCGTGGCCGCTCGCTAATAGACAGAATATATCATACAGATAAGACGTACGATGTTCATTCATCGCAGCGACCCGAAAACGTCGCGTGACACCCCCTTAACTCGCTATTCACCGGCGTCACGTTAAACGGAATTCATTGCAAGAAACGTAACCGTCCCGCTCGCTCGCCCGCAGGAAAAAGCGAGATTTTACAACGCGATAATCACGTGAAGTCTGCGCGGGAGTTAACGCTGGCCCCGCGAACAACCGAAAATTAGATTAAAACAATTAAAAGTGGTCTCGCTGAAAGGGACACGATTCTCATCTTGTTAATTAGGATGAACTTGCGAAAATTCACGGGACTCAAGATATAGATTGCGAACTTGAAGTATATCTTGGCCGAGCGTCTCGGTTTTAAACAGTCTGGAAACTTTTCCAGTAGACGACGGAATTCGTGTCCTGGCGAGATACAATATTAAATTTATAATTACAGTTTTTCCCCGCGCGTGTCATCACTAGAGATGGCATGAACTGCAATTTCTAAATCACGAGTGATTCCATCATATTCGGTTCCAATTACGGTGATTTTTCGTGATAGTTTCTGATTGGTGGGAGACACAAAAACAATTCTTGCACGCGTCACATAACCTGTAGGTATATGTATACAGGGTGAGTCACCTAACGTTTGCACCTCAAATATCTCTGTTGTTTTTAAAAATACGTCAAATGTCTTAAAGACAAAGTTGGATGATTCCATGGGGCTCACAGGATACCAACAAAATTTTGTTTAAAGATATCAAGGTCAACATCATTTTATAAAATGGAATCATCCTTTTTTGAATACCTACAATGATAGTCACTTGTATTGGGTATTCAGTGACTATAATTATTCAAGTTCATTCAAGGTCATGGAAAAAAGGATGGTAACAGTTAAAAAAAAATGAAGGTGACCTTGATATCTCTAAAAAAAATGACAGAAAAACAAAAATTAGTCGGCATCGTGTGAGCCTCAATGGACCATTCATCTTTGTCCTTAAGATATTCGACATATCGTTAACAATAACAAAAATATTTGAGGTGCAAACATTAGGTGACTCACCCTGTATTTTACATTAACGACGTCGAAACAAAAATTCGAGTTACATCGTACAAAGTAAAGGACTAATGAGGAACAACGACGAATAATGGATAAATTAATTATTATAACTTCGAATCGACATGTTACATAATAAATATGTTGTGTAATTATAACAGATCAATTTCTTTATAATTGCTTTTCTTCTTACTTTTACTTTTAAAAACGCAAATAGTAATGTGTAGAATTCATTTTCGAAAATCATCTTGAATATGTTTTTTTTTCTTTTAAGGATGAGGATTACGATAACAGTGAGCAAATTCACTCTAGATAAAAAATCATGGTCGTGAATGATATTAAATCACGACCGTCATCCCCAGATAGCACATGACGTCTTGAAGACGCCCATTTTACGGCTATTTTAGGTCTAAGGCGCCTTTAAGCCGTCTTTAAGGCGTTATTAGGCGTCATGATAGGTCTGAAAATTGATAGGTCAAGTTTCGTGAACGAATCCGACGCGAAGTCGGGGAGCCACTAGGTTGGAAAACACTTGGAAAAGTAAGACGTGCGGACGAACCTCATGCGAAATCAGAGAGCCGCAGGAAATGTTAGTTAAGCCTCGTACTCATTTTATAAATTTAGATACAACTCAAGCGGTAAAGTTGTATCGTGTGGGAAAGATCAACTACGATTATAACGATTATCAAACCAATGAATTTTAATATTAAATTACTCACGTTTATTAAAGAATATTATTTGGATATTATACAAGCAGTCCTTGGTACAAGTGAGTGTAGTGTTGTCGCGGTAAAGTATTAAAGGGTTATGCCTACCTATGAAGTTAGAAAAAAATCGATTTTTGGGTTTTAATATTTTCTTACAGTACATCATTTTCGAAATATTGTGTGAAAGTTTGAAATTGATCCAACCAAAATTGGCGGAGATACGCCCGTTTAAAGTATACGGCCTTGGAAGTTTCGGAGCAGATATAAAGTGGTAGAATCCCTTTGTAGGGGTGCCTCAGTCATGAATACTGTGCTCCAATGCAATTTATGGTTGAGTTAGTAAATATACAAAGCTATATAAAGCCGTAATACTAAGAATAACTATATATAAAAAATTTGCATTAATTCGGTTGTAAACCTGACTTGAAACTTTAAACGTGTTTTTCTCAAAACCACATTTCCAAAATCGGGGACCAAAATATCTCGAGAACCGTTGCACCGAACTGATTCAGCTTTGACGGACTCATTCTATACATAAAAATCTACTGCCTGATCACGGCTTCTGTATTTCATTGCGTAATTTTTATTTTATGGATAAAAAATGAACGATCTTTTTGGCGAAAATCGATACTTCAATTTTGAACAGCCGCCATTTTGCCGTAAATTAATTTTTCAGGATATTGAACGATCCGGCACTAGATAATTTAATATATTAACTAAATTTGCTTGGATTTTTTATTTTAGATAAACGATCTCGAAGTTACGAAATAAAAACCCCGCCGTGAGATCGCTGATATTTCCTCTGTTTATTCATATTTTGCATTAACGAAATTATTATAAGTACTTTAAAATGTACACTTTCGGATACAATGACGTATGTTTTAAAAAAGTCTTCAAGTTTTTTAAAATTAAATTCCGAAAGTACATGTCTTTTTTCGAGCTCGCTGGTAGATAACCCCTTAAGTGTAAAAGCGGTTTTGAAAGATTGCCGAATAGAACTTCAATCGAACTCGCAGATTCTATAAGGTTAACTGATGATTCGAAAGGGAACTTAAGCCCGACCTCACTGGATACAACTGACTCTTTACCGGATATAATACGTCGTGACTCTACAAGTGACTGTACTATTCTGGCCCCCGTGGGTTAAAATCAGAGGGTTTATATAGTTCCAAGACTGGGTGGGGTTCCATTAGAATTTCTTTATAAGGGAATCTTAACGGTCGCAAGTGAATCATGATTCTGTCTCTAAGTTGCTATCCAGTTGGTCGACATTACGTTCCCCTATTAATTGAGGAATAAACAGACGGAGTTTTAGGGCGTTTTCCGTTGCCAGGCGCGCGGAAGAATACGATTAAAACTGAAATTATTCTCCATACGTAACAAACTTAATGATACTTCTATATTACTATCAACATAATAAGACAATTACTTCAGGAAACAAATTTCTTCCTGATTTTCATGTTCAGAAATTAATGTCTAAAATTTTGAATTTGCATAAACATTCGCAGTCTAGTAATAAGTATTATTTATCTAAACTGAGATTTCTGTTAGAATTTCATAATTTAACATTTTTCCAAGTATATCCATTTTTCCCTTATAGATAGAAAATATTTATAATTATATCCTAATGATTTTTTCGTTTTCATATCGTGTCTCTAGAGATAAACACGCACTTCCGTTTAAACAATCGTGTACACAACTGTTTCAGGCGCAGTCCGAGTGGCGACAAAGCAGGTTACCCAAAGTGTATTATCGTCCCATTATTTCATCGACATCGAAGTAATGACCAACGACGTAACAATGTAATTAACCAAATGCAAATGCGTCCAATAAATACTTGCATCAACTTATTATGCGCAGTCGTATTATCTGTAATGTTCGCGTTATGAAATCGATGAATGCATACCGATCACAAGATTTCATATACAGAGTATCGTCCATAAATGACCGGACAAACTAAATTGTCGATGTTAAAATGTTATTCTTTTCCAATAGGCAAGAGTTTCATTTCTTCTACTATTTACTGAAATGAATAGCTTTCTTTGGCTAATTTTACAATAGCACCAGATAGAGATGAACCGATTCAAGTAAATTCGAGTAAGCAATCGATACTTTCGTTTCGATACCAAATATTTTTAGTATCGATACTTTCGTTTCGATACCGAATATTTTTAGTATCGATACTTTCGTTTCGATACCGAGTATTTTTACTATCGATACTTTCGTTTCGATACCGAGTATTTTTAGTATCGATACTTTAGTTTCAATACCGATTATTTTTAGTATCGATACTTTCGTTTCGACATATACTCGGTATCGGAAAGAAGTACTCATATCGAATGAAGCGAGTAATCGATATGAAAGCTAATGAATGTGAAGGTGGTTAGCGTCCTGTTACGTATATTCCTTTGTTAATAAATGTTCGTTAATAAAATGTCTTCGGTATTAAATGTTCATTAATGAGATATATCTTCTTTAAAATCAAAGATGGGCAAATTCATTATCCAGATAAAAAGTTTTGAATAACGAATAAAAGATAAAAAAGTACTTTGTAATCGTTTAAACGTGGAAATTCCAAATTTTATAACAAAATACTTCTTTCTCTATTATATACGATACTTTTTTTCGATACGAGTTATGAGTAAAAGTATCGATACCTTGACGCTATCGGTTTATCCCTAGGGTCAGGCTCACAACGCCGATAAAATGACAAATGGTATTCCAAAAATCTTCGATCGGCAGTGTACGTCGTTAGCTCCGCGAAATCAACTTCTGCGTTTACCGAGCATGCATAATTCATTCGACCGTTTGACGTATGTAATAATAGAAACAATGGAACAACAGGGCACGGTAACGCGACAGCAATAACTCATGGTTGTCCCTGTGTGCATAACTCCTCAGGACGAGGGGTGGGGCTGGGTGGGGGGGGAGGGGTGCTATCTTTTGAGACACCGGGCGGTTGTGTGTTGATTAATCAAACCGAATAATCTGGCCGAACTGGATTCAAATAATACACCATTCTGGCCCCTTCTGTAACGACAATTTCGGCCACCGCATCATAAACATTAATAACAGGCGACACGGACATGATGGAAACGCTGTGCACGGCCGCCCATGAAACGATGGATCATCAGAAAAATCGGAAACGCGATCCGGTGTCACCCATTAACCCTTTCGAGACAGGATTTCTTTTTTAACGATGAACCCAGTAATATAATAGTACGAGTTATAATACACTCAAATATAAAAAAGAAATAGGTTAAGCATAGTTTTGAAAATGGTATAGGGTAGATGTCCCAATTACTGCCACCTTAAGATTGTAGCGTAACTTCAATTAAACATTTTACTTGTTGTTTAACCTATAAATTATCTCAGTTTGGAACATAATATTATTCAACATCCCCTTCATTAAAAAAAATAGTTTAATATATTAGGAGTGAAGAATTAATTAATAATTAAAATCTGCGAGCATTCCACTGCCCCTATCACTGTCACCTTAAACACCGTCTTGTCCCTATAACTCCCACTCAATAATTGTCAGTCCTATTAACTGTCACCAGATGACTGACGGCCCCTATTATTGACAATGAGACCCTATTACTGCCAATCCCTTTTATCGAGATCCAATTAATTGCAAACTATAGAAGAATTAAATATTACAAACACAATTATAAATAAAATAACCCTACTAAATTAGAAATAATTGAAATTACATACTATGAAGAAGCACACGATACGCTTCACATGTCGGATCTGAGGTTAGAGTTATGAATTTTGCAAATGACCTAAATGACAGTCACACGGACCTACTCTTACATGCCACGTTCTTTCGTCCCGAATACTGACAACAGTGATATGGGCAAGCCGAAAAATATTGCCCGTAATACTGTCACCGTTAATTCCCAGATAGCACATAACGCCTCGAAGACGTCTATTTTACGGTTATTTCAGGTCTAAGGCACCTTTAAGCTGTCTTCAAGGCGTCATTAGACGTCATGTGACCTATTGAGTGTATCAGGAAACGTTTTAATGAAATATGTAGCATTTTAAGGGACACATCGAATGGATACAATTTGATTCTTTTTGTATCTTCTTTATTTTGAGGTACCAAGGTGACCTTGAGTTTTTGAAGGTCGTTGCATCTTTTTCTTAATGTCAGCTCGTTGCCTATAGAAGATATCTAAAAAAAATAAGATACAAAATATCAAATTGTATCCATCCGATGCGTCCCTTAAAATGCTACATATTTAATTAAATCGGTAAACTGTCTTTTTTAGTACAAATAATAGGTAACGAGTTATTTTAAATAGCATTTCTTATTGACTCACCTTGTACAGTCCCAATAGGTGTCAATGGCAACAGAAAGAATTATAACTAGGACTTTAATGAATTCAAATGGTTAATAAGATAAAGTAACTTTTTATAAGTTTTTGAATTGTAAGCTGTAAAACATTTACGACAGAGTTCAATTCTACAACTTGAACATACAGTTCTAATCCGTCTTTCCGTCTTAGCTCCTAATCTTTTAATACATATTTCCCTTTATAAATTTTATTTATTAACAGAAACAATTGGATTTGGGAGGTCGAAAGATTGCCTAATTGATCCCAAAAATTTCCATTTAATGATCGCTTACCAGTTTCCTGAAAAAGAACTCCAAAAATTGCCCAGTTTCTGAGGTTTTCGAGAAATCAACCCCATTAAGTCCTGGCATAATTTCAGATACCTAAAGTTCTGTTATAGTTTGAAATGGTGGTTTATTTTTTCCGAAACAATTACCTTATTTTCTTTTAAATTAATTTTATTATTGAAATAGTTTATTTTCTCAATCTAAACTGTTCTTATTGATCTCAATTACCTGGACAGAGAATACTAATTGATCCGTCAATGTAACGAGGAAAATCTTATCGCTTTCGGCACAAATATTTGCGATTGTCTAATAATAAAAATATTTTTACTAGCATAATAAAAACTTGTATCTGCTTGGTTCTCATAAAATCATTTCCCAAATATTTATCGTGGGTTGTTATTTATTATTCCCAACGAGAATATCGTATCTATGGTTAATATGAAATACTTGTTTGCGAAATTTATCTCACACGCCGTGCCTTCTTTACGTAACGCGTGGCGCTTAAAAATGCATAACGATACGTGACCAGAAAGAAACACGATCAGGAATTAGCGTTTAACCTTAGATTGTTAAATTTCACATCGCAGTATAAAATCGCGGGTACTGTTTCTAGATAGACCAATTAGGAGATGGATTCTTTATTCGAAATACTTCTTTTTTCGCGATTGGTGTCCCAGATAACAAATGACGCCTTAAAGACGTCCATTTTATGGCTATTTTAGATTTAAGGCGCCTTTAAGCTGTCTTCAAGGCGTAATTAGACGTCGTGTGCCATCTGGGAAAATAGCCGTAAAATGGGCGTCTTTAAGGCGTCATGTGCTATCTGGGTTTAGGTCTAAGGTGCCTTTAAGGCGTCATGTGCTATCTGGGTTTAGGTCTAAGGCGCCTTTAAGCCGTCTTCAAGGCGTCATTAGGTGTCATGTGCTATCTGGGCGGTGATCTTCTTTTTTATTTAAGGACGTCAAATATAAACAGATTGACGATCGATCGATATCGTGGATGTGCAAATCAAGAGCATGTGATTCGTGACAACTTATCGCAGGTTTTCAAATTTTATTTATCAATTCACTTATTATAACTTTATTTAGTGATAATAAAAAGTAGAAACTATTAAACTATCGAGTATTAGTACTAAAAGAAAAGGATAAGTGAATATATTGTTATGTTTGTGTTTGTGTTTTGTTTAACTATGGTCAATAACGATTAAAATTTCTTAAACAAAATTAACGCTCCACGTTCTGAGACTTTCGAGTTTCGAAATCCTACAAAATTCCGAGCATTTAAATATTAGATTCCAACCCATCCCTCTTTTTAACTTACAGTAAACTTCGTTGTTGTTAGCAAATCAAGCGTTTAATTTATTCACCGTATACTCAACTCCACGAATCGTCACTAACACGGGTTTCGGATAAAAATATTTAGATATCCTTACAAAACCTGGAGGGAAACGTGTCCCCGACATTTCGCTACCAAATGTGTCGGAGTACACACATTTTGAAGGGACCTGCATGACCATCAAAGTATCATAAACCTACGAGTTTTGAGGCAGTAACATCGTACTTGGACTTAACGATGCCTGGAAACCGCTGCGAGGAGAGCAAGACCTGAGGGAATGTTCGCGATGTTGCTGAACTATCGTCTAACACCCAGGTCGAAGGATTGCTGCAACCTCCTCTATAAAGGAACTACGCTAAGGGCGTAATTGTGGAGGGGGGTCCACGGGCCTAGAGTCAGTTAGAATCAGTTAGACAAGAGTTGAGTAACAAACAGTCCATGGAACGCCAATTATGACGCTCACTTTAGTTCAGAACTACATATAAGTATTCCAACAGTCAAGTTCGATGTAGGTGAACAATCAGGTATATCTCGAGCCTCATCTGACAAGAAAAGTTAATTAGTTTTGAAAAATATCCCAAATAGCACGAAAACATCCAACTTACGTCCGGAGAACGTACGGTCTGGACGTTCGGTACATTGGAGGGTGTCCCGAAAAGATCTACATGTCCGCCCTACGTCTCATTAAGATCTTTAAATGTCCTAGGCAGGTCCTGTTTACAGAGTGAAACGTCCTGAGGACGTCCTGTGTCAACATTCTCAGAAGATTTTCAGAATATATACAAGCAACATTCTTTGTACTTTTTGGGAACGTTTAA